TATATATATATATATATATATATATATATATATATCATCATTATCATCAGAGCCTTGTCCCTACTATTTGTGTCAACTGCACAAATCCTGGTCCGCCATTCTACCCTCCCAACTATTTGGATCCTGCTGTAGTTAATTCCCAGACTGATGCCCTTCCCTTTCGAAGTCTTTTGATGTGGATGTGTATTTGGGATTTGTACAGTATCTGAACTTGCAAGTTGCTCATTATAGGGATCTATGATAGTTTTGTTTTGCTTTGTAATTAAAAACCAGCCAAGTATTTAACTAAAGTTATCCAAAATTGTGGGCAGATATTAATAAGCGTGTTCTCTGTTTAATCCATGGACCCGGTTTCTATGCGGCCAAGCCTGCATATGTAGAATACGGGCCTATTAAAAAATATATTTTTGAGATGGATATTTGGACTTAATTTTTAAGTACATGTATCTCTAACATGGAGATCATGAATATGAAAAAATAAGTAAATTTTAAAAACAGAAATAATAATTCTAGTAAGAAAACATTTGGACCGTTAGTTTCCATTGTTTTTAGATGGAACACCTACTTACATCCATCTTTAAGATGGATGCTTTACACTTTTTGGACCGCATATGTGGTCATGCGGTCCAGCCCATATGAAACAATTTTCCTTATTCCATTCATACATGCGCCATATTGAGATTAAATGCTTTAGTGCGACTCTGCAGGAAGGTTTACAGTTTAAACAATCATTTGTCTCCCTTCTAATGACCTTGTTATGGCAACCTAGGTGACTTTTGGTGCGACTTCTGGCTGATTTAATAGCTTTGCCATGTTTTTTGTGGTTCGACTTTGGAGGATTAAATGATCTCCTTGGTTGTCCAGAAATTTTAATATGTAAAAAAATGCGCATCTTCATGAAGGTTTTATCTTATGTAATTAAGATTTCAGATTTTCTTACTGTAATGTCCTGTAAAATGAATTTCGTGTTGTAAAAGTAAATATTAATGTCAAGAATTTAGATTTCCTTTGCATGTGGGGACGCACTTCCTAGGCATCCTGTTAATTACATCCATGGCCATCATCTTTGACTCTTCAAGAAAGAAAGTTGAGAGACGATGTAGAAATGAAAATAGGGATCACTCATATGATGTAGTTTTTCTCATTTACTGATTTTCTAGTTTTGTTATGGGCATGTATTCATAGCGCATGTATACAAGATAAAGTATAAACTATTTTTGAATGCGAGATCAAGCATAAAGTTGGTCCATGCCTACGTACTTCTAGGTCATAGAAGTTACTCCTGTTATAGTGAATGCTAAGAAAAGAGTTCGAGAGACAAAATACCCACGATGTTCACTTCTCTTCAAATGATAATACTCTTTACACAGATATTGAGACTCTTAACAGAACCCAAATATTTGGGGTAAGGCTCAGATGATGACAATGATGTTGGAACTCTCTACATGGGACCCATAACTATCTGATTAATGTACGTGCTGAAGCTTTGTCATGTTTTGTACTAGAATTTCATAGACAAGACAAAGGTGACCTCGCTTCCTAAAATCATGCACCACAAGGATCTAAGTTCATATGATTGTTTTCCCTTCAATGGATTCTGGCTAAAATTCCAACTTCACATAATGACCGAAACACCTCTCAAGCTTGTCCATGATTCAAAAATCCTAATGTACTTTCAATTGTCTCGTAATGTAAAAGGTAAAAAAACAATTTGATTTCACAAGCAGTTCATTTTACTTTCTATTCAACCATTGATCACTCTTATCTATTACTTCTCAAACATTATAGTTCTGTTTTCATAGTTCATTGATGACTAAGAGCCAATCTATTAGCCTTGCTTGGAGACCTTATTTATATCTGCTTCTCCTTCATGCTTTCTTTAAGGGGACTTTTACTCTCAGAGTGGACTGTGGCATCTTCAATAGTCTATTGGGTCATCACGGCCTAATGAAATGATGGAAGTTGTCATGGAGAAAGCGAGACCCACCCCAGTAGGACATGATTGCAAAGATGGATCCCACTCTCTCTACATCATTGTTCATGATTTCGTTGGACAGTGATGACCCAATGGACTACAATTTTCTGGTCAATTCGCTAATGATTTTTTGTCCCCCAATATTGTGCATTTCTTTTCTTCATATAAACATTGTGCATTTCTTGCTTCACTTGGTTAATATGCAATCAACATGCAAAGGGCAATGTTGGCACCATGTTTTAAAAACATGTTCGGTGACCGGGATCACCCCTTGGGAAAACCAGTCTAGATTGCTGATCCGACCTAGTGATTTGGCAAATAAAAAGTTAAAAAAATCAGGAATAAAAATTGAAAAAATATTAAAAAAATAAAGTGGGAACTAGCTGTATCCTGCTAAATATTTGGAATCGGCCAGTTCTTGATATTTAGCGGGTTCTGGATCGGCCTAACCAATTCCCAATCCAAAATGGCCGGTTCCAATCCGGGTCACCAATTTTTAAAACCATGGTTGGCACATATAAAAATAAATATGGGACATGAGGATGCTATTGAGTGCCAATGCATTTCCGACGTGAATCTAAAGCTTGGTAGGAGATGCTGAACTAGTATGTATTTGTAATGTATGTAAGCATGCATGTATGCATGCATTGAATGTATGTATGTACGCATGTATTGCATGTGTACATATGTATATATGTCTAGTATGTATTTGTAAAGTAAGTGCACATTATCGCATGCATTGGATGTATGTATGTATGCATGTATTGCATGTGTACATATGTACATACGTCTTGTTAGTGTTTGAACTTGAGACATAAATGGTACTAAGAGCTTCGAACCACCTGACAGACAATAGTGGTTCACTGCGACTTGTTTGTGTTGTGTTTGATTCACTCTTTTGGAGCTGTAGTAAGGAATCTCCACATGTGGTTTTGTGCTATCTTCTGAAACAAAGAGACATTGCATTGCTGGCATATCCTCACTCTCACTCTCTCTGTCTCAAAAGACAAAAAAACACGCACAGACACACACACTGTGTTCTCCTACTTATTAGTTGAGTTGCCATGCTTGTTTGGATCGGTATCTGATTTTTTTTCTTCGTACATGTATAGATCACTGAACGTTTTCGCTCATGATTTTCTTGTCTTCACATGTTACAGGGGTCTTTGAGGACAACTTTAAGGGTATTCTTCATGTCGTTCACTGGGATATTTGTGCCCTTGGGGCAATCTGAATCGTCTCACACAGATATTTGCAGCTTTCATCCTGAAGTGACTCGCTAATCTGTATTTCCTTATGGAATCATATGGAAACATGGTTATCCAAAATGTAGGCATAAAAAGTGATTAGTGGTAAATATCTCTCTCTCTCTCGGTTTAGTCTCTGGGCACAGTCATCAACTCTTTAGGCCCACAGTTCTGCATTCTTGACTTTAAAGTTTTGATTCGAACTTGAGAGAAAAAAAGAATCCATCTCACCCCCCTGATGATTGTGTTCTCTCCCTCACTGTGTTCAACGAGTTGGAGGACCCTCATTATCACTCCGGCGAATGGTTATGTTTTAAAATTTTAGCCTTCCCTCTTAAAAGGAAGGGAACTATTTGTTTTTTCGTCTTTGGTTTTTTGGAATTAAACGTAGGAGTTGTCATTACACAATTTGTGTGTGCAAGAAAAAGTTTACTTTCTATCTACCAGGGACCAAGATCCATTTTGGACGGATCAATAACCCAGGTGGTTTTGTGCAATTCTCTTCCTTGGCTTGCATGGAAGGTTAAATTTGTACGGAAAAGGCTTCCAAATGGGCCTATTGGGTTCTAGCTGGTGCTGGAATCTCTTATTCCATAATGGTTGTGGTTTATAAGGTGTCAAGCTTAAGTAATCAAAGTAACTTGTCGGAAGATGCATTTCGAACTCCAATTATAAAAAGGATTGTATTTTATGAGACTATTTATTTTTGATACAAAGTGGTCACACTTATTTTCAGCTATTTGATGTGAAATTTTATAGTTTGGGTGTTTAACAAAGTTTAAAAAAAATTATTTTAAAGTTTGTTCTTGATTCAAACGATCAATTTTACATCTCATGGTCAAGATTAATGAGGACTACTTTATATATGGTAAATAGTCTCATTCCGCACTTTTCTATTATAAAATTGAAAGATACAAAGCTTGCTGTTGGAGCTGATTAAAAAATATTTGAAATTTTGAGAACGAATGGTCCATGTTATAACATAGAATTGTTTCTGGAGAGTTTTCCGATATCGGAAATTGCCATTTTGGTCCAAAATAGAATATTCCTATTAATGTGAGGAGTTACCACTTGATTGGATGGTCCTGATCCACACACTTTGTTTGATCCCTAGTTTGGTTCTGCACCATCCTTTTAATTCTAACTGAAATCTAACTGAGATATTTGTTATGTGAAGAAATTTCTCAAATATCAAAGTCTGTGTGGAATATGTATTGGGAAGCCAAACGCTAACGGAGACGAGAGAAATTGATTGTTTAGTGATGGGGTAGCAGTTTGCTTGTATTTGAAGTTTTGAGATATGGAAATCTGTGGACTGGGATGGGATCACAGGTTGGCTGGCTCAGCAAGAAAACGGATGTACGTTAGACCATCTCAATTGATGAGTTAGCAGTTTGTGGTTCTACATAATAAAAGGAAGTCACAATCTAGAGAGAGAGTTAGACCATCTCAATTGATGGGTTAGCAGTTTGTGGTTCTAGATGATAAAAGGAAGTCACAATCCACGGCGAGAGAGAGAGAGAGAGGCCAAAGGATAAGGCAGCCCAATGCGGACAGATGTGATTTTAATTTTTGATGATTAAGAGGTAGGACTGTGCAAACTGTTCTTTTGATAATTAAGTTTGGCCCAATCCAATTTCAGAGAGCTACTCATACTGGTTTTTTTATTCTGGTGAGGTTGGTTCATGTTTAATGAGGCCAGGCTCTAGGGAGGAAGTAGCCCTTTCTCTCTAGGCTTTCCTGATATGACAAGTGAGACCCACCTGTTCCAACACCTCACATGCAATATAGAGAGAGAGGGCTTCACATTAGTTACCATTATTATGCAACATCTTTTCAAAACAACCACCTATCTCTAAGGCACTTTAATAGGTCTTTGGGGTTTGCTTCCATCTTCTAGTGTTATGGTAATTGTTATTCTTGGATAATTAGCATCTTGTCATACTCTTCAAGTTCCATGGGGACTGGATACCCATCCTTTAGAGATATATATAGTTTAGAGAGAGAGACATGGGTCTAAGGTTAGAGTCATAAAATGGAAATACAAGGCCCTGACCTAATGTCGAAAGTGTTTGCCAAAATGGAATGAGTTGCCTGGTCCTACTAATCCAATTCCAAATGGATCCCCAAAGGTTTTTCCTTCTAGATGGCCTTGCCTACTTCTTAGCTTACACAAGTTGTTGCATCACTCTTATTTGGGTGCGGTTTGTATAGAGCCTAAGCTATAAACAATCAAATCAGAACCTACCTTCAAGTAGTGTCAGGAAATGTGGTTTTATTACTGAAAATCTTTATAATAGCCTTAAAATATATTTTCATATTTATTTATAAAGTTTAAAGTTTTAAAAATAGTGTAGATGGACAGATCTATAAAAACTTAAAAATCTTAAAAATTGACGTTCTAAAAATACGTTACAAAATATACTATTTCAAAAACTTGAAATTCATTTTTTTCTCATGTTCATACATCGTGATGTCGAGATGATCAATTTGAAGATATTTGGGCATCAAAACAACCTCTTCTAGTGAACTTTTTGAGATAGGCTCAAATTTGATTGTTTAGAGCCTCGGCTCTATATACACCTTTCCCCTTTTATTTTCCCCCGGTCAAAATCCTATCCTAAATACCAGGAAATAGGTACATTCCAAATGTGTGTGTTTGAGAGAGAGAGAGAGGAGAGAGAGTGTGTTGTGTGTATATGTGTTTGAGAGAGAGTGTGTGTGTGTTTTTTTTTTACGAGGAGGTAGAGAGAGAGACTCAAACCAAAAATGTGAGAGATGGACATAAAAACAACCACTTCAATTAGAGAGACAAAATAGTGAGACCGACACTTAAAAGGGAAGGTTTTTATGCTTCCCATATAGCATAGAAGTTTTATCATCCTTTTACCATCTAGCTTCCAATTTTGATCAAGAGAGCCACTCATTGTTTATTTTATTTTTAGCTTTTTTTATACAAATTGTATGAATATGAAATTCGATACGTGTCATCTTCTCATTGGGGCGCACCTATAAAAAATATTAAAAATAATATTTTGATAAAATATAATGACCAAAATACCTTTTGAAAATTTCAAAGGTATTTTGGTCATTTTATTTTATTGAAAATATTCTTTTTTATATTTTTCTCTAGTGCGAGTTTAATAAAAGAATGGATGACTAAAAATTTGGTGTCAAAATAGTTTATAGAAAAAAATTTAAAATAAAATAGTCTAGAGATGTGACATTGTGATTGGAACAATCTTAACCCTCCATTCAAAATGGACGGTTGGATAAGGAGAAAGATAGAACTTTTATATTATAGAGAAAGCTTGCCCGATACTTAAAACTACTTAGAGAGAGAAAGAGAGAGGATTTATAAACAATTTATTAGGATAGAGTCAAAAGGTCTCTTGAAACTAAACTATTAGAGATTTGCACACGGCACTACTACTTGAAAGCAATTTGAGAAACGAACTTCCTAGATACACATTTAAAAACTAGTTTATAAAGCAATTTGAGAAACGAACTTCCTAGATACACATTTAAAAACTAGTTTATACGAGAGAGAGAGAGATTGATTTTGTAAAAACAATCTAGGAGGAACAACATTTGAACTAATATATGGTGTTATAATGTTGTTTAAAAGTGACTTTAAATAAGGGGTGTTGTTGACCAAGGTATGTGGCCACCCTAGAAAGCACAAGCTACGAGTCTGAGCAACACCAAAGACCATCAAACAATTCTAGAATGCGTGGTCCCCATACCGTTGCCCCCAAACACTTAAAAATAAAAGAAACAGTGGAAAAACAAAAGATAAAAAATGGCCCAACATTCTCTCTCTATCAATCTAATCTCACTCAAAATTGGATACTTCACATGTTAATCATGTGAAGATGAGATTAGTCAAAATTAATCCCCACCTTTTTGAAATAATCCGCAGGAGGGCCCGCAAATCCGAAGAGAGAGAATAGCAAAAATACCCCTCCCGAAAGCCAGAGATGAAAATGCCCGTTCACGGAAAAAAAAAAAGACAAAAAATGCCCCTCTCCAAATTTCTCATCCATGAGGAAACAGAGGGAATCCACTAGGCCATGCATAGGGAGTGGTGTGGGGCCCACCCCAGTGGTTAGTGGGTGGGACCCACGGGTGTCATGAGGCCAACCGACTGGGGCATATAGCGTAGCGTAGCGTAGCGTTGCTCACCCATGGAAATGGAATGCAAGCTAGTGTGGGTGGTGGGGGCACCCTGACATAGACACCCACCCATGGGGGGCAATGTGGCCATCACACCCGTATCTTCCCCAATCTCTTAGATAAGGAGAGGCATGGTAGAGGTCTATTGGAAAGACAATTACACATGTTCTAGAGAGAGAGATGATATTTTCCATAGAAAATAGAGAGAGACTTTTCATCTGAGAGGGAGAGATTTTGCCATCTCTTGGATGAGGAAGTAGGAGGTTTAGGGTTCACACTCAAAAGGGAATTTTTCTTTTTAGAGAGAGAAAGAGTGCGCAACATTTTCGAACAACATGTGGATTGGTTTGAGAGAGGGATTGATAATTTGGAACGGTGACCATCACATCTTTCGTAGCAATGTTTTGAAAAATGGCAAATATCTGGGCAGTAAGGATGTCGCGGTTCTTAGCATGGAATCGTTAGGTTTTGTCATAGAACCAGATGATTCTATCAGAGAAATCGACTGTCCATATCATAGGGCAAATCACACATAATTTAACTTTTGATATATTGTTTAACATTTTAGCAATTTTTACCAGAACTCTCATCCGATCCGAATCAAAATCACAAACTCAGACCAATTAACTAGAGGCCCATCCAAAATGAGATTCCAAGTTTCAAAATACTGTTTGAGAGAGAGAGAAGGAAAGGGGTTCGGGCATCGGTGCTTGGAGTTATAGCCTTTTTAAGGTCTTGACACTAAGATTTTCCAATGGTTCTCTCAATCGCAGTCTAAGTGAATGAAAACACGTACTCGCCGAATCTCTGTGACCTAGGATCTCGAGTCATTGTCCGCAGAGTCACGAAACCCTGAATCATGAGGATTGAAGTTGTGTAGCTACAAACCAAGTGGGTTAAAAGTTATCCCAAGTCAGGATTGGTATGAGGCTAGGGCATAAGTGATTTCTGTTATTTTTATGGAAAAAGTTTTTATGCTTCCTTTACAACATAGAAGTTCTATCCTCCCCCTACCATCGAGCTATCCAATTTTGATCAAGAGACCCCCACTCACCGTTTGATCTTAGATCTGACATCTCAAAGTATTTTATTTTTAGTTTTTTTTTATATACAAATT